ATCATTGTGGAGTCCAGAGACCAAATGAGCCTGAGAGTGCTGGGCCCAGGGCTGAGCACACAGTGGGAGAGCGATGGAGCTGGGTTCCAGTGGGAGGGCTGGGCACAAGGAGGGGGCACCCCCGGCCTGGGCTGCCTCTTGGAGAAGTGGCTTGAGGATATTGAGGATCCCTCGAGAGCCAAGAAGCACCCAGTAGAACTGTGAGCAGCAGAGCCTCTGGGAACGGTGCCTTGGCAAATCTTAAACCCAGGGCTGGGCCAGCAATTCTAGATATAACTACATCCCTTCCCCCATTTCACAGACTAAGGCCCAGACTGTGGAAATACTCAAATTCATGGAGCAAGTCAATGACCAAGCTGGCGCCTGACCCCACATCTTTCTAATGCCCTGGCCAGGCTCCTCGTCCCTACCTCAGACCTTCTTCTGTGTCAGAGAACTGCACGCTGGGAACCAAGAAGCCAACCTTTTCCAGGGGGGTTTTCAGAAGAGACATGTTACCAGCTGGGCCATGCCTGCCACTCTGTTTCCTCTTCTGGAAAATAAGAACACAGCACCTGCCGGGCAGGTGTATGGGGTCTGCACAGAGTAAACGTACTAAAGGCTTGCTGTGTGTAAGGTTACCTCCCACCCTTCTCAGCATCTAGGTCAAGGGTCAAAACTCAGGTGGCTAGGGGTGCCTGGATGGCTCAGTCATTAAGCGTCTGTCTTTGGCTCAGGTCATGATCCCAGGGTCCTGGGATCGAGCCCTGCATGGGGCTCCCTGCTCAGTGGGAAGCCTGCTTCTCCGTCTCCCACTCCCCCTGCTTGTGTTTCCTCGCTCACTGTGTCTCTCTCTGTCAAATAAAATCTTTGAGGAAAAAAAAAACTCAGGTGGCTATAGGCCAGGTGTATAGCCTACACGAGGGGCTGGCTATAAGAAAAAGGAGTCAGTGATCGATAGCAACAGGCAGTCAGCCCCAGTGTCCAGGACACCATAGGGAGGGGTGGAGATTGTGGCTAATTGGAGAGTACACCCCCATCCAAGAAGGCAGCTACTGCTTGGCTCCGGCTGACTGTTGCCACGCAGGAAGCATGCTCAGATTGCCAAATTTTAGTTTTCCCAGAGAATCTGGAAATCTGATTTTCACATGAAATCTTCTAATTTTAAATGTTGATCAGTTAACTCCTTTAAAAAGTTCTTTTTAGCGCTCTGGGTCAAACAAGCAGGTCTGAGGGCTAGATTCTGCCAGTTTGTGCCTCTGCTACAGGCCGTCCGTCCCCTGCCCCGTCCTGGGAGCACAGCTGGGCTCTGACAGGCGGGAGTAGATAAAAACAGGCCTTCCATGTACACAGCCCAGCCCTAAAGTGAGCAGAGCCCTGCACACCCCTCATCCTCTCCAATCCTCACAGCAGCCTCGTGGGAGCAGAGGCGGCTTCGTCAGGGTCCCCAGTGAGGAGAAGGGACTTGCCTGAGCTCATAGAGCTGCTAAGTGGGCAACCGCCTCCTCTCTCTCCCCTTCCAACTTCACTCCAGCCACTCTGGCCTTTTCATGGCTGCCTCAGGCGCTACCGCCTCAGAAGGGCCTTCCTCGACCAGGTGTGTAAACCAGCTGCTCCCCCCGCCCATAGTCCCACAAGTACCTCAGCTCAATTTCCAAAGTCAAGTGCCCCGTTGTCCTCTGCAAGACTGCTCCTACCCCAGTGTCCCCATTCTGGTGATGACCCCCATCCGCCCAAGTCCCATAAGCCCAAAGCCTGGGGGACATGGTGGTGAATAGTATCAGCTCAATCCCCATCCAGTGACTCAGGGTCTAGGCAGGGATCCAGGGGTATAAAGGGCAGAGTGACATGTGTCTGGTTAGGGGAAGAACAAGAGGCCGTAAGAACTCCTAGGAAGCTGGTGGGCAAAGAAGCTCACTGGAGGAGGGGTATTTGAACTGGGACCTGAAGGTTTAATGAGAGTCAGGCAAGAGGGTGTGTAGAGGCCGAGGTAAGAGAAACTGTGAAGCCATGGATGAGCCCAGAGAGGTTATAGTGCGTACATGCATGCATGTGTGTGTGTGTGTGTGTGTGTGTGTTTGTATGGACTTTGGGGGAGTGCGTACTGAAAGGTAAAGTTTAGCAGGTAAGTAAGTACACAGAAGCTTGGAAGCACATTATAGAATTGGACTTGACCCTAAAGGTAATGGGGAGTCATTAAGGTTCCCCCCCGTTTTTAAAAAAAGTAATATATGCACACATAACCAAAATTTCATGCATCACAAAGGGGCATACCAAAAAAAAATCTCTTCCACCTCCAGATCCTTGGTCTCACTTCCCAGAGGCAATTGCTACTAAGTTTCATGGGTTTCCTTCCATAAATTTTCTTTTTATAAATAAACCCATATATGTGTATCTGTCTTTTTTCTTGTCTGCATGCATGGAATCCCACTAGCCCTGGCTTTTTTCACTTAATTTATCTTAGGCATCTTTCCTCATCACTCTACACATTCTGATAGCTGGTGGGGGGGGGTGCCATGTGGCTGTCCCATATTTCATGAACTGGCTTCCATTTTTTTTTTTCTCATCACCAGCCATGTTCTTGTGTACCCTTGGTGCACCATTGATCCATCTTCAAGACCATTCCTGGAGGCGGGCTTGCTGACCTAAATGCCAAGTGCATTGTAAACTTTTATAGGAATTGACAAATGTCTTTCCAAAAAGATTACAGCCAATTTACTTCCCTAGCAAGAGCAAGGAGGGGTTGGGGCCGAGGAGTAGCATGTTGGACCAACATCTTAAAAAGATCATTCAGGGGCGCCTGGGTGGCTCAGTTGGTTAAGCGACTGCCTTCAGCTCAGGTCATGATCCTGGAGTCCCGGGATCGAGTCCCACATCGGGCTCCCTGCTCAGGGGGGGTCTGCTTCTCCCTCTGATCCTCTTCCCTCTCGTGCTCTCTGTCTCTCATTCTCTCTCTCTCAAATAAATAAATAAAATCTTAAAAAATAAAATTAAAAAAAAAAAAGATCATTCAGTCTTTCGTTTAACAAATATGCCTAGGGGGCTACTGGCTTACTATATGCCAGTTATTGTTCTCAACCCTGAGGGTATATAAGTAAATATCATAAAGTCCCCATCCTCCTGGAGCTGACATTCTAATGGAGAGACAAACCATAAGTAATAAACCACTGTATGTAATATATCAGATGGTAAATGGGTAATATGAAGAAAAGCTGAGCAAGGCAAGGAGGATGGAGAGTGCCCACCAGTGCTGGGGAGGATGGGTCAGGGAAAGCTGCAGGGAGCAGGCCATGCAGATTTCAGGAGGGAAAGCATTCCAGGCAGAGGAAACAGCCAGTGCAAAAGCCCCAAGGCAGCCTGTGTGACTGGAGCAGCGTAATCAAGAGAAAGAAGTAGGAGACAAGGCCAAGATCAGTGATGGCGCCAGAAGATCAGGGACATGTACGGAGTTTACTTTTACTTGGCATGGTTTGGGGAGATACTGCATGGTTCTGAGCAGAAGAGGGATGGGCTACCTTGGGTCTTACTAAGATCCTTCCAGCTGCTGTGTTGAGAATGAACCGTATGGGTTGAAGGAAAAAGCCGGGATAATCCAGGTGGGAGATAGTGTGAGTTCAGCTCAGGAGAGTGGCCAGATTCTGGCTATATTTTGCAGGGAGATCTGTTATGTTTTGCTGGTGGATGGGACGTGGGGTGTGTGAGAAAAGTCAAGGGTGATTGTAGGGCTTTTGGCCTGCGCGCTCGTGAGATGGCTTTGGGAAAGATGGTAGAGCAGGTTTGGGGGGGGATCCAGTGCGCTAGTCACTCTGGCTGTGGATGTGTAGTTGGGATGAAGTTGCTCGCAGATCCAGCTGCCTGCCAGAGCCTCTCCCTGCATGTTCCCCAGACACCGCACACTCAGCCTGTCTAAACACAGCTCCCCTTTTCCCCAGATCTCCTGCCTCACACCCCCCAACGCTGGCCAGATTCCTGCGGGCCACCCCTACTGCCTCCCCCTACGGCTGGCTGGCTCCTGTCAGTTTTCCCCAGGATCTCTCAATTCTGCCAACTCTCTATTCCTTGGACCTTTACCGTGCCAGTTCTCATCTAGATTATTGCAGAGAAGGGCTGGGTGAATGAATGAAGAATTGGAAGAATAAAAGGTTAAAGAATGGTTGGCTAGCCCCTCTCCTCCCGCCTCCACACCATCCCAGAGCAGTCTTTGAAATCTCATATTTCAGACTATGTTCCTTCCTCAACTATTAATCATTCACAACTCCCCAGGGCCTGCACAGACCAAAACTGTGGCCTACAGACATATTTTGTTTGACCCACATAGTGTTTTTCTTTTTTGATCTTGAATTAGGGTATTTTACATTAAAGTTCTGGATCTCCTGCTACTCACTGATACTACCAGGATGCATTTCTCCAGAACAGAATGTGGCTAGTGGAGGAGTGGCTCCCCCTGTAAACAGGGCATGCACTCTCTGCTGCTTTCCCTACCATTCCCTATTGTACTATACCCAGCCTGCTTCCCTCACGAAAATTACCTACCTGGCCCCTGTGGCATCAGAGTTTGTGACCTGTGGCCTAGATGAAAAAAGCATAACTTCAGGGTAGCATGCTGTATGGGGTGGGCTGACAAGGAAGATGAAGGGTGCATGCTGCATGGGGTGATGGTAGATGAAGTTGAAAAGTTAGACTGTGAGGGCACCTGGGTGGACAGTCCGTTAAGCATCCGACTTTTGGTCTCAGCTCAGGTCATGATCTCAGGGTCGTGGGATCAAGCCCCACATCAGGCTTCTAGCTCAGTATGGAGTCTGCTTGAGACTCTCTCTCCCTCTCCCTCTGCCCCTCCCATGTTCTCTCTCTCTCTCTCTATTAAAAAAAATAATAAATTTTTTAAAAAAGAAAAAAAAAGTTAGACTATGGCCAAGTTCTGAAGGGCCTTGAATGCCATTTTAGGAAGTCTGACCTTTATCCAGAGGGCCATAGGAAGCAGAGAAGCAGGGGAGTGATATGGTGGGACAGAAGATGACCAGATGGGGGCAGAGAACCCAGTGAGGAGGCCCAGCTGCTTGGAAAGGGTGGGAGGGAGAAGACAGACCTCCCCACTGGGTCTTCCCTGAGTCTGAGTCTGTTTTCTTTATGTTTCAGAACCAGATAGCAGCCTGGGGCACAAGTATGGTCAGGAGGGCAGTTGGGCAGTGCTGAAGACCCAGCCCGGCTCCAGCTTCTTTGAAAGAACTCCAGCCCCTCACCCACAGCCCTCTGCTGCCCACAGGATGGGAGCCTGGGGGCTGGGAACCCAGCCATGAGGGACTGCTGCCCCTCCCAGCAGAAGGCCAGCCCTGCACCCTCTAGGCACAATCCTGCCCCAAGCCCAGGCATGGACTCCAGACACAGCAGCCCCACTGGGGCTGGGGAAGGGGCCTCCTGTTCTGAGGGCCCTGGCGGGAGCTTGGCCTGCCCCTCCCTGACCTTCATCCCTCCCCAAGAGGCAGCTACCAAGGAGACACTGGGGGCACATGGAGCCTTGATCTCAGGGACACCAGAAGCCACCTTCTCTGGGAAGCCAGAACCTGTGTTCTCAGCGAAAACTGATCCCTCATCCTTGGAGAACAGAAATCCTATGTTTTCAGAGAAGATGGATTCCAAGTCTTCAAAGCAGGCAGATTCCACTTTCATAGGAAAGGAAGATGCTGGGTCCTTGAGGAAGGCAGATCCCACGTTTATAGTAAAGACAGAGCCTATAGTCTTGGGAAAAGGGGATCCTGTGGCTTCTGGAAGGATGGATCCTGTGACCTCAAGAAAGGAGGATCCTGGATCCTTGGGAAAGGTAGATCCTGTGTGCTCTGACAAGGTGGATCCAGTGTCCCCAGGGAAGGAAGATCCTGTATCCTCTGCCAAATTGGATCCTGAGTTCCCAAGAAAGGAGGAGCCCAGGTATTCAGGAAAAGAGCTTCATGTGGCCTCAGAAGAGGTGGCTCTTGCATCTGTGGGGAAGGCAGACCTTGTGTCCTTGGGAAAGAGAGATCCTGGGCCCTCAGGAAAGATGGATCCTGGGTCCTTGGAAAACACAGATTCTGCAACTGCAGGAAAGCTAGATCCTGGGTTCTTGGCAATACTGACTCCAGGGTCATCAGGCAAAACTGAGCCTGTGTCTCCAGGAACAGTGGCTCTGGGGTCCTCCAGAAGGATGGATCCTACTCACTTGGTGATGACAGATCCTGCATCAATGGGAAGTGCAGAAACTGGGTCCTCCACAAAAGAGGACCCTCAGTTCCTGGGGAAGATGGATCCTACCTCCTTGGGAAAGGGAGATCCCATGTCTATGAGAGTGATAAAAACCATGTCTGCTGGGCAGGTGGATGCTGTATTTTCAGGAAAGATGGAACCCACATCTTTGAAAACTGTGGATCCTGTGTCTTCAGGCAGGGTGGGTCAAGTTTCTTTGGGAAAGATGGATCCTGTGCCCTCAGGAAAGCCAGAGCCCTTGTCTACTGGGCAGGCAGAACCAATGTCTGTCGGAAAGACAGAAACTGTCTCATCACAAAAGGAGGACCCAATGCCCTCCACAAAGGCGGATCCCATTTCTGTGGGAAATACAAAAACATCATCTTCTGGAAAAGTGAATCCCGAATCGAAAGGAAGGATAGACCCTGTGCCCTCAGGTCCAGGGAATCCCAAATTCTTGGGGACAGCAGGACCCTCATCCTCTGTAAAAGCTGAGACAGTGACTGAGGGGAAAACAGATCCACTGTCCTCAGAGAAGGCAGGTCCTATGGCTTCTGGAATAGTGGGTCCCACAGCCTTAGGGAAGGCTGACCCCCTGGCCTTGGGCAAGGTAGACACTGTGAGCAGAGGGAAGGCAGAAAGTGCTCCCCCTGGAGAAGTGGATTCTGTGTCTTCGGGAAAAGTGGCCCCCATGATCCTAGAGAAAACGGTCCTGGCATCCTTGGGAAAAGCAGAAGCTGTCCCAGAGGGAAAGGTGGATCCTTTGCCTCCAGAGAAGGGGAATCCTATGAACTCCACAAAGGTGGATCCCAGGGCCTCAGGGAAGGCAGAACCCACGTCTGAGGGCAAAGCAGAAACAAAGGCCCTTGGGCAGGAGGGCCCTGTTTCATGGGGAAAAGCAGAGACTGCATCTCTGCGGGAGAAGCCACTGGCCTTGGAGAAAGGGGAGCCGGAATCCTCAGGAAAAGTAGACCCTATTGCCCCTGGGAAGGTGGAGCCTGTGATCCCGGGGCAGGCCGATGCTGCGCCTCCAAGAAAAGCAGAGTCCCCATCCTCGGGGAAGTTGGCCCCCCCGACTCTGGAGAAGGCAGAGGCCTCCTCCTCCAGGCAGTCAGATGGCAAACCCTGCGGCCCAGGCCCTTCTCCCGCGGGGGCCGGTAGTGGCGGAGGCCTCTTGGAGCCAGTGCCCAGCACGGAGGCCTCCAGCCCAGGCCAGAAAGACCTGGTGGCCGCTGGGGCTGAGAGAAGCCCGGGCCCTGAAGCCACAGGGCCCCCACCCGGGCCGCGGACTCGTGACAACTTCACTAAGGCTCCGTCGTGGGAGGCGAGCGCCCCGCCACGCGAGGACGCGGGGACGCAGGCGGGCGCGCAGGCCTGCGTGTCAGTGGCCGTGAGCCCCATGTCTCCGCAGGACGGCGCGGGCGGCCCGGCCTTCAGCTTCC